ATTGCAGTTATAATTAAGTGTATATTTCATACAAATTACATCATAACTGTATTGTATTTCAAAAGCAAAACCCGATTCTCCAGCCATTAAACTATAATTTTATTCCTATAGCACAGACAATGTACAAAAAATTGTATCAAATCTCTAAAATAGCGGTCATTGAATGTCTTTATAAATATCTCAAACACAATACATGTTTGGAAAATATTATTTTAAGAGAGTTATAAAGTTTACAATCATTTAATAAATGTCAATAATTATAAACTTTCTTATCTAACTTTTTATGGCCATAAACCGCTATATATACAGTATATTTGAGACATAAAATTCTTGACGACAAATGAAAAACTGTTTGCGCCATAAATGAAGCAAAACTCTTAAAAAAGTATAACACAGAGAGTGGTGTATATCTCATGAGTATTTGACTCACAAAAAGGAGTTGTGTTGCAAATCATATAATAATAAAAAATATATATTTTCTGTGATAAGATTTTTGAGCGAAAATTTTGTTACTTTTTGTAACTTATTTTTCGTTGCTTTAAATTTGTGTTCAAAACTTCAACACACGTCTGACACACAACTCACAAAGAAATATAAAATATATATCACAAGAAAAAACTAAACTCATCTCAAAGTTATGACACACAAAATATTGAGACATAATATACTCGATGTAATAAATACAGTATTAGGAATTTGTGTTACAAAACACATAACAAAACAAAAAACTTATAACACCAAAAAATAGTGGGCAATAAATAGATGTATAAATCGTTTGTTGTAGTAATTTAATAGTCATCCAAATACTCTAACCTTTTGTATACCTGTTTAATGTGTTTAAAGCCCACGAAAATGTCGTACAATAAGAGTACTGTAATTATTATTACATAGCATTTGAGTTGAGTTTCATTTCGATTAATATTTAATAAACCATTTGTTTAATACTTGGATATTATTGTGGCTTTCAATGGACTGAATTTCAATTATTCATAAATTTAAAATAAGCTTGCAAAATGTGTTATACTGTAATTCATTTATGTATTAATCAATATATTCACTAATATTTTCATTGAAATAAATATAAATTATTTTATTTTATTTTATACTTACCTATAAATTAATGATTATTTATTTCATTGTTTTCATTAAATTCATGTAATATGTGTAACAAAAATGTTTAGAAACAAATGTAATTTTTTAAATAAACAACACGTTTTAGTTAGAAGTGAAAAATATTTTTTCATTTTATTAATCAATCAATTATTATAATATATTATTAATAATAATAATGTTTTTTTTGAAAATTTTCTGCTTTTCTTACAATCAGTTATCGATTTGGGGATTGATTTGAAAAATTGTTTTTTGTTCAAAGGATTAAGAATTGGATTAATGTTTTGTGAATAGCATTCAAAAGCATTTGTTTAGTCCAATGAATAATACATACAAATGGATGTCCAATAGATATCAATATAATAATTAATGCAAATATCGCTATAAAATTAGAGTCAAGTTATAGTTATATCATCGATAGATATCCACTCATATGTTATTATTTTACAAAATATCATTTCAAACACAATTTTGTTTGAATGTATTGTTTTCATCAAATAAGTTGTCGTTTGGGTTGTGTTTTGGGGTTTGTTTTGGTTAACAATAAAATTCTGTTCAAATTCAAACAAATTTCCTAAATATAGTGAACAATAAGCGTCAGGTTTTTTGGTTCCCAATTGAAACAGATTTATATATTTTTCAGAGATAATTTGTAATTTTCAAATTTCAAAACATTCAATATTCTGTGTTAGACTTTTTTGATAAATATAATAATATCATAATTAAAATATTCAATAAATGTTTTGTCAATAAATTTAATGTCAGATTCTCGGAACAAATATATTATTTCATTAATAGTTTTTGTTATATTTTTGTTTTTGTTTTATTACGGGATTATTCTGTATTTAATTAGCGTGTATTCAATGGGGGTTATAAATAATTTGCTTATAATTACTGCTTAGTTATAACTATTTATTGTTTTTATTGTTTGCTATTATACTGTATTACATGGTAATCAATGTTTGTTTTGCTAGTTTAGGGGGAATTAAACAACTAATTAATGAAATCATAAAATGGTTTGCAATGCATAGTACTCTTTGACGAATCAAAATCTCAATTATAAATAGTATTTTAATAAATATTACGAATAGTTACCGAGAACAATTGAAAACTAATAAAAATTCATGAATTGTTGTTGTTGTCCATGTATCCAAAAAAGACTAAACTAAATATAATCCAAAAAATGTTTACTTAAATATAATTTTGTCATAAAAATCTTTGTTTAATCACTGAATTCAGTGGATATTCAGTAATAACTCTAAATAAAAATTGTAATTAAATTATGTTTCATTTCCTTTGTTTCATATCAAATGTGACCAAAAAGTTTGACTAAACCTAACGGACAATATGTTTCGCTCTCATCACGAGAAGTAATTCTCACAAAATTCATAAAAATAGAAAAAATTTCACTAAAATTATTATTACATAAACTGAATGAACCATAAAATATATGCAAAAATCACTACAAAATCTCTGCACTTATGTCTCACAACAAAGCACTAGTCGTCTGAACCAGTGGTCAGACAAAAGTCGGGCTCAAAACCCGGTATATATAAGGGGACAGAGAGTGAGTGCGGAGAATTTGTTAATTAAACTAATAATTTCATAATATTTATCATGATTAATCTAATTGGAAGAATTTGGATATGAATTTATGTAAATTAAACAATTACTATATTGAACGCTAAAAATATTCTCTAATGAATAATAATAAAATTAATAATCAAATATAAGCGATAATTAACATTAGAAATGAATGCAATATATATTCTCTAATAAACTCTAATAAAACTGTTTATGAATTCTGTGAGAAATTCTGTGAAAGAGTTTCGTAATAAAGAGTTGGCATTCAAACAGAGAGAGTATATATAAATATATATCACGGGTTGGAAAATAAAAATTGATTGAATTGAAAATAATTGGTAGACTTTTTCGTAGCGAGAAATATACAGTATGTATGGTATGGTAGGAGAGAGACTGGAGTCTCGGAGAGCACCAGAATCTCTGAGCGCATGTATGGGTTTGTATGCACTGCTAGTAATGCTGTATATATTCTGAGCCCTTAAATCATATCTAATTTTAAAACCAAAAATACAGTTCAACAAAATGGTGACAAAACTGTTTAGGGTCTCGTATTTTGTGTCCTTTTTAATGGGTTTTGATTCAATGGATTATCAGTTGAATGTGTGTTTTGTTTGTCATTAGGTTTTAAAATAAGAAATAATTACTTGTATGCGGATATTATTTGCTTTGTTTTTGTTGTCAAATAAATAGTCATAAAAAGTATTCATAATATTTTTCGGTTTAGTATTATAACAAACAAAAAACTTTTGTGTCGGACATTAGATAAATATAGAGTAAAGAGTTTGACAACAATTTAAATAAATGTTTGTTTAGCGAGAAATAAACACAAAATCTCATTGAATAAAAACAGATTTAAATGAATAAATCAGGCAAAAGAGACACCAAAAGGAGATTTTAGTCACAAAATAAGAGCAAAAAATTCATATCAGAAATGAAAACAAATAATACTATTAAACGATAAATTCTCGGATAATATCTGACATTAATTTTGTTGCTTTTTTCTGTAGTTGTAATCCATTTGCGAATAAATTATTTATTTTTTTCGAGAAATTTACTGATAAATCATGACTAGAGATTACTGACTGGTTTTGTTATCGGATGGACAGGGAGGTATACATTACTTTTGCAATACATAACTATAATATAACGGCAAATATATATTTATTTAGTTTCATATTCTGTCAAAACATTTGGTATTTTCATAATAAAACTGTCCATAACTATAACCAAAAGTGTTTTCATATCTCATTATAATATATATCTTATGTATGAATAAATGTTTTGTTATTTGGTTTGTCGGAGGACTGGGCCTGAGTTCGGGTGCAAAGCGCTTGTATTCGTAGTAATAATAAAATATTATTAATCAGTAGTAATAGTAATAATTATAAGAAAACACTTTTTCGTATTTTTCAAGTCTTGTCTAAAATTAAAAACATTTAAAGGCATATATGAATGAATGGTTATGAGATAGAAACGACTCAATGAAAATGCAATCATCAAAAATGTTTTGGTGACAAACCCGAAGTATTAAATGGAAAAATGTCTTTTTCACTCGATGAGTTGATTATTAATTATTAACTTTCGTTATTATTATTACAGTCGACGACTGAATGAGTCGATTAATGAGCATTTGGTGCCAATTAAGTAGATGTTGGCTTGTATTCACACGTAATCACTAAAACGCTCAGTAGATTAAGCGATAATATATTTATATTCCGGTATATTCTGTGCATTCATTGCAATTTCAATGCTATTATCGACTCAATTGTATGATATTTACAATTAATTATAAATTAGTTTGTTTTTCCAAATGATTCACTCGTATGTATGTCTTGCGGTCTTTCACTCCATATTAGCGGTCACTTCAGATAATAATTATATTTATAATAATAAAAAACTTCTCAAACAATTTGTTTTCTGTACAGAAATGGTATTTATATGTTTTATATATATTATATATATATTTATATAATTTGTAAACAAAATTCTGTTTCGAAATCTGCAACAACTGGCCGATCGGGCGGTCACTGAAGAGACAGCCAAACCGTGTAATCTGTTTGTCAGGACTTCAGTCGAGTGGGTCCGTCGACCACATCCGCAACCATAAGAAACAACAACTTTGTTATACTTTGAGGCATCAAATATAGAACTCATTATCTCTTCTTCTGGTAATATCTTAATATCAATAATAATGTCATTCTTCTCAACAATAAAACCATTTCTTGTATTTTTAATCACAATTAGAGACCAATTAATTAGTGTTTAGTATGTATTGCCCGCACTCACAGGGAAGGGGTCGGTGGGTATCACAAGGCATTCATCGTAATACCGGTCGTATTGCGGGAACTGTTAGACGGCCGATGAGGGGCCGGCATGTCGTAGTTGGCCGACGGGTGCTGATGATGGTAGGAGTCGTAGAAGTCGTGTGTGGTTTCACGTAAAGGCATGGCGTCGACAAACTCGTAGTCCTCGTCGGCGGCCGAGTAGTTGCGGCCCGAAGTCGACGGGTGATGACCGCCGGACAGCCACTCCGTGCGATCCGTGAAGTCCTTATCGGTGGCTAAGCTGTTGTCCGGTATATCCCTGTAATGCGAGGGACCGACAGTCTGGTTGGCGAAATACGGGTCGTCCATCGGGTCGACGCCCGGCCCGTAAGCACTTTGTAAATGTCTGGTCCGGTTTACACTGACACTGTAGTCGCGGGCAGTCCTCAGCTCCGGCCGCGGCTGCGAGCCGTACATATCGAGCGTAGGCGAGCCGTTGTCGGGCGTGTAGTCGCCCACCACTGGCCTCATCGACTCGTACCGATCTTGTTGGTGATGGTGCTGCTGGTGGTGGGGGTGGGCGTGGGGCTGATGGTAGCGCACGGGCGACGAGTTGAGGTCGTCGCGCATGAGGGCGGGACTGTCGGCGCCGGAGTCATTGGCTTCACCCCCGGCCGACACTCCCCTCATCGCCATCTGATGAGATTGTGATGATATCATAGGCAACAGCGGCGGTCGCGACGTCGTCACCGTTACGGCGGCGGTCGACGAGGCTTTGATGGGCGGGTGAGTGGCCCGCCAGTAGGCCTCCAGAAACTCCGCCAAATGATCGCACGCCTCCTCCAACAGGTTCTCGTCCAGCAATACGTCAAACATTTCCTGAAAGGGTTTCAATCGACGGTTAGATTTAGTGATTGAAGGCATTGAGATATAGGGATCAACTGAAGTGATACTCACGACCGGGCACTGGGAGAGCTTCTCGGCGGCGACCATTTGGACGTTTAGGTTCCGGCTCTGACTCTTACCGCGAGATTTGATGAGTCGCTGCAAAACCTGATTAATAGACACCGTTTTAGTCGTCAGAATTATCATTAGATCTAAAATGTCTGTTAAAATCTAGTCATTGGACACAAACTTTTGGTGAAGAGATCTTCAGGTAGACACAGATGGGCGCCAGTGATGTCTTGACTAACTGCGAGGGATGGTTAATGGTATCACAATCGAGAACCACTAATTGCATGGTTCGGGCCAACTCGAAGATCCGCTCGATCTCCGCCTGTACTTCGGCTACAATTATGCCACACAAAGACAAAACACGTGAGACATCTAACAACAAAAAAAGGTGTTCCCCGTCCGACCCTTACATACCCAGACACGAGGACCGGCTGTTGGAGCGCTCCATAAGCGCCCGTTTGCTGGGATTGTTGAGTAGCGAGCGTTTGGCGAGCGATATGTCGGCGCTGACCCGAGTGATGATAATGCGGCCCTCGAACCGGTGCTTCAAGTAGTCAAATAACGCCTTCTGCATCATATCCGTCACTTCGTAGCCCTTGAGGGAGGGCCCCACCAGCACCACCGGTCGCATAGAAGGCACCACATCATAGGGCGGTATGTTCTCTGACTTCTTGAAGAACGGCTTCCGGCGCTCTTTGGCCGGCGGTGTCGACAGAGCGGACTTTCCCACACGAATGTTACCGTCGCTGTCATCGATATCGCCGTTTTGGTCTATCAATGAGTCAATTGTCAATGAATTTGACACCAAATAAATGTTAGGCTCTGTGGAGAAGGGGTGGAAAGGGAGGCCTACCTGGCGTGGGAGGGCTGGAGCCGCCGGAATTGGATGAGCGCGAGTTGATGAGCACATCTCCCATAAGTCCGCCCAAATTGGAGCCGGAGTTGGCTTTACTGGAGTAGAGTTTACTCCGCGAGGTCTGCGTCTGTTGGAGGCGAAGGATCTCAAGTTTGACGGGACTCGGGATGAATCCAACATCACTGCCCTCCTTCACCAGCCGTCCGATCCACCAGTCGTTGTTGTATTTCTACATAATATACACACAAATCATTTGTATTGCCGTCTCATTAGTAATGATATGTCATTAGTTTAACGCTTAATGTATCGCATAATCGACGCGATAATCAAATAAGAAGTTTTTTCTTTGAATGCAAATAAAATGAGTACTTCTTTGATGTGTAGGAAGTCTTTGACGCCGAAAGAGATGGCGTACCCATGAATGGGTGAGTCGTCGTCAACACTCCCATCGTATGAGACATTCGTGCGAACGGCGAAAGCGACGGGTTTTGACTGCCATTCAAAGAGATTATATGATAATTAGGGCTCAAAAACACATTTTCAGGACTAATAGAAAGAGCAGAATATATATAGAAAGAGATATCAATTGAAAAGTACAGCACATATAGCGTTTGGAGTCAACTATTCCTGTGCTCTACTTATCAATTATTAAAGGGATGTTAGCTCTCGGATCGATGGACAGGCAGTCAATTGGGGCGATGATGTGATTGCTTAGGATATGGTCTTACCCTCGCTTTGTCCAACTGCGAGAGGGCCAGTCTCTCCGTTTCCCTTCTCATGGCCTCTCTTTCATCGTTTAATGACTGGTCAGATGACGGCCCACTATAGCTGTAATTTGAATCCCCGGAACCCTTTATGGCGTAACCACACAAACAAATCAAATATTAATGCCTTGGTATATATTTAAACTAATGTATCGATTAGAATAAGTAACAAAAAAGTTATTAAAGTAATTAAAGAATATTGATTTGATTTTTAAAGAATTATCAGAATTTACATATTTTTATGGCGTGAATGGTTAGGTTAAGTTAGGTGTGGAGTGGCTATCAGTCCAAACCCGTTGTGGGTTTGGGTCTGAGATGACCACAAAATTGTCTCTCAATTGCGTCACATAAACATTGAACGCGTGAATTGAGTGCAAGACATACACCAGAATATAGTGTATAACACATTAGTAACGCTCAGTATATTACATATATAGCTACACACATATAGTCCACAGAATGTATAGTAGTATAGCGTATAATATAGTGAATATTCTGTCAGTCAATTCAGTTTATGACATGAGAGTCAACGCCTGGTTATGGCCTGAGTCTCACCAGAGGGCGAAGAATAGCACACAATATGTGATATAAATTGTCATAAGAATCGGCAATTCATGCGAAATGAGAAACGAGAGAATCGCAAGAATATATAAAATATAAAAAAATTCCTCAAAAGTTATTATAGATATGAATAATGTATTTGTTTGAGACGAACAACGATATTAAGGCAACGATTTTCAGTGAGACGTGTATTACAAACACACCACTGATTAACATAAAAAAATCATATTTATTATAAATCTCTTAAACAGTATTTCATTTTATTAGCGCATAAATTGTATGTCTGATAAAACACGACAACATTACTAGTCGTTAAAATGATTGTACAATCGTTGTTGTATGTGTGTTAGTTGTATTGTGTTTAGCATTTATATGAAAACTACACATTGAAAAAAGCTACAGAATAAGTTAATCCCTTAATTAAATACTTAATGCACTGTAATATAGCTAAAAACAAACGAGAATTTCATTGCAAAATATAGTGGACTTGTTTTTGTGAGTGAATGAAATGTTAGGAGAAAATAATTTATATTATCTCTAGTGTACTGTATGTGAGTTTAACTCTATTATAAAATCAATCGTTAAATTAGATTTAAAATGTAATAAAAACTTTGTGCTCTTTCGGCTAGCATTTAATAACTCAATATATTGTATAAATAAAATGTTCTTGATAAATAAATAAAAGCATACAGCATTTGTATATTATCTCGTAATTCTGGGATAATATAATTGACATGAAATATTCAATCCGCTATGATACACATACACTGTTGTGTATATATGAATAACACTTTAGTTATTATTCTGTGAAAAATTTATTATATTTTTCTTTTCATCGCCTTTTTTCGCTGGTTATAGTGAAACCTCATTATTGTGAAGAATAATCTATTTTTATTGACTATTCAAATGCGAAAAACATGTAATATTTTAGTCTTTTTTTGTATAACAATAACGGAATTCCTTTAATTACTGTCAGTCAGGAAATGAGAGTTTTATTGAGAAACAAGAGATTAAAGAATTTGTTGAATAAATATGTTATTCAATAAACGCGTGGAGAGACTATATAATTATGAAGCAATTTATTGAATAATTTTTTTATCAAACACTGATAAGCGATAAACAAATAAAAATCACTTTCGCTTTAAAGAGTTTTAACAAAAAATTTATTTCATTATTCATTTGAAAAGTCAATAAATGCTTTACTCGACTGGAAATCTGATTAAAATATTTTCGTAATTTAAATACATGTATAAAATATGATTAAGAAATTCCTTTGCGTTTAAAATTTTCATTCCTATATATAACGAGAATCTCATTAATTATTGACTTGTATTTAACAATCATATTATTTGAGAAATTGTGAAATTTAATTGAATTACAGAATAATAGTTTGAATAATAAATAAATTTCCAAATAATAATCATGTGTTAATATATGAAGCACACATCATTACAATTATAGATAAATATTTATTACATTAAATTTTTATAATCATTAGTTTTTGAAGAAATCATTAAAAATTCAATTCACAAAACCATAAATTATTATAAAAATTTTAATGTTATGTATTAGTCATTAATATTGAGATATAATCTCTGGAAAACATTAGCTATAATTCGCAAAATATTTTATGCAAACAATTCACTTATTAAAACTCAATACACGGTGTTATGTAGAAAATAAAAATAAATATATTATACTATAGACGAAAATATAATTATATATTCTGTATATTTAAGTAAAGTATTAATTAATGTGTAAAAATTATGCGAAAATAATTACATGGCTTAAGACACTCACCGATACATCCATTCAATTGAATGAAAACACATTCCGTTAATTTGCCTGAAAATTACATTTTCATGATAATGGTTAATCAAGTTATTATTATCGGTAATAAAAATGTTTGCCACAAATAAGACATTCATGTTTGTGTAATCAATTAATTGTAAACGGGCATTTATATATAATTTAGACAGACAAACAATTTTTTAATATTCACACACGACAAAAATGCATTTAAATAATAATCAATTCACATGACATACACTCTCACTATAATCTCGCAGAATATTCTGCAACATTGAAATCAATGCAAAAATAGGTTATAAAAGCATATATGATATACACGCTTATAGTGTATATAAGTTATACATATATATATTTTGGCTACAAATTCACCACAAAATCTCATTTTATGTGTCAAACATCTATGGGATTATATTCAGGGCTCACCTCTAAATTGGATACAAATTTGCGGACTTTTGAATCAAAGGGATCGGTGTTTGCAAAACACAATCGCTAATTGAGATCACAATTCACTGATAATAATATTGAAATAACATTAAAAGCCGCAAACAATTCATACGATATTCAAAGCCATAGTATACTGTAGAGTGTGTTAAGCGTAGCATTGCATGGCTTATACACCACCAGAATATATGCTACACTCGTAGCGAGCAAAGCGTTTGTGTAATCGTTTCATGTTCACCCTGATCATTTATGGCACATATTGAACACTAATTTTCAATTCACTAACAAATATTATAAATATATTGCCATTAACTGATCACCCACATCAATTTGGTGGTGAGCATCATATCGTATATCAATATATCATTTGTTTATCCACTCATACATTGCTATTATTCTCGCTGTTCAACACTGAATCACATATTCAGTAAACACAGGCATTAAGGCATACCTATCCGTCAAATACGTCCGCATAGACCTCAGCCAATGCCTGGCCTTCCGGTGCACTCATTCTCACAGAATATTCTGCTATTTTGAGCCAATATTCTGGACGTTATTTATGTCAGAGTATTGGTATTTATTGTCGCAAATTGCAGTCAATATTACAGTTAACGACAACTTGATTGAAGTTTTCATGAATTTATAAAAAGTTTTTTGTATTTGTTTTGTAATTATGTTTTAATTATGAGAAAAAAGTTTTAGTTTTTTGTTGAAAACTTTGCGTTCAGTTTGTGTTGAACGGCAAAACGAGTCATAAATTAATCATAAAATGCTTTCCACTCGCGAGTGATATTTGATGGTCATGTCCAAAAGCACCATGCTCAGATTAGTGTCCATACACGCGTTGATGAAACACTTGAATCGGTGCGAAGTAGTGATCATATTATTCCTCCTGTGGGCCACTCTATGGCCATTGGTTTTCCCCAATTGGATGTCCTTTGGCTACAAACTGGTGGCCGACAGAGACATCGACGCCGATGTCTTCAGTTGTCATACACTGAACACGACTGTCGATAACAGAGCTGACTGTCCACTAGTGGACACCCGTTTAGGTAGTGGTGATAATCACGCGAGTCTTTGGTAATTCATACATTGTCTGCCATTTCAGAGCCATTGGTGACTGCATTGACCCAAACGGACAGCCATTTGTTGGACACAATCGCTGACAGGTATGACATCAAACTCGGCGGTCGACACGAGCCCCGGGAGTGCCGGAGCCGCCAGAAGGTGGCCGTAATCGTGCCCTTCCGGGACCGGTGGCCGCACCTCAAGCTCTTCGTGCAACACATGCACCCATTCCTCGTGAGTCAACGCCTCGATTACCAGATCTTTATAGTGGAACAGATGGACACCAATGGCTTCAATAGAGGCAAACTGTTTAACATTGGCTTCCGGGAGGCCATCAAAATGGACCCCGAGTTCTGTTGCTTCATATTCCACGACATCGATGTCCTGCCCATCAATCGCCGCCAGACCTACCAGTGCTCCCGCAGTCCCCGTCACATGTGCTCGGCGTTGGATAAGTTCCGGTATGTGTTGATATACCCGGACCTGTTGGGCGGTGTGGTGGCCATCAGTAGGTCTCAGTACGAGTTAGTCAACGGATACTCGAATCGGTTCGAGGGTTGGGGTGCAGAGGACGACGACTTCTACAATAGGATTAAAGCCAAAGGCCTTGTGCTGACCCGTTGGTCGCAACAGATCTCCCGGTGCCTTATGCTCAGACATAAGCCCGAAAAGCCAAACCCCAGTCGTATGGCTCTACTGGAGTCAGGGAGAGCCCGGTTCCAGTCGGACGGACTCAACGATTTGCAGAATAGTTACCAAATACTGGCCGTTCATTTTGAACCCCTCTATACCATAATCAAAGCTAAGCTCTCATAAGATTTCACTATTTTTTAGGTGTAATTAGAGATTATTTTTTCATAAATTTTATATACAATTGTATAGTATTTTGTTATATTTTTATTATATAATAATATTTAATATATTAACAAATTATGCTTAAAATAAATAAATAAATATTTTGTGGTAAATATATTTCTCTTTATAAAACATATTTCATATAAAATTCAAAAGCATTTCCAAATCGTGTGTAAAAATATATTAAATATAAATATCTTTGCTTTTCATAACAATATACGATATGATATGATATAGTTTATGGCAAATAAGGGTTTGTTTTGTTTGGGGAACAGTAGTTCATTGGAGGGATGCCCTAAGAAACTCAGGTAAAGTGAGTTTAATGTATCTGTTCTGAAGCGGATCCTTCTTCTCGAACACATTGAAAGCCATCACCAGATGTAAGATCGCGGACACGAAGTCCCCGAACCGTAGGGTTCCGTCTTTTCTCATATACCGGAGCGCCAGTGACGACAGGATTTCCGTATTTAATTGGAAACCTATTGTGTGCGTAAAATCAATAGTTATCCACAGAGTGGTCGGGAATGGTATATCACATGACAAACCGATTTCATTGAGCGCTTCGTAGAGTTTCTCGGCTCTCAGTATACCAGTCGTGCCCTTCGTATGTGTTTTGAACGTGTTTTGCCAGTTCCTCAGCGAACACATGATGTTCTTGTAGTCGTTGTATTGGATACGACCGCTTCCGTTGGGGGCCTGGGATGTCGGCACAGTTAGTGGGGGTTTAAGTCGCGAATAGTTGATACGCACCTCTAATGTGATGACAATCTGTCGGCAGACATCTAAAGTGGCACAAGACTTGACGTAATCATTTGGCAAACAGGTCTCCAGAAGTTCTTGTAACTCAAACGCGTTTATGGTTTTGTGCTATAGTTTTATGGACACAAGAATTTCTAACTATTTATGCAGAATATTAACCAATTATATGATAATCGCAGACCTCATCAGCGAATTGCATGAACAGAGCCTCGTATTGAGCGAACTTCTGGTCGAAAGTTGGCGGCGCTTTGGTCACCACCGGCTTCACGATGGCTGGCGTGCAGTCCATCAGTTTTATTTTGATAGCTTTGGAGGAATGGATGCGCACAGAGAACTGGCCCTCTTGTCCTACACCAACGCAATCATACATTCAATAAATATACGGAATATTCTTCGCAACATATTCTGAGCAAACATCAAATACCCGTCTCATAAGTGGTGGGCAGCAGTACGTGAGCGCCCGACTCCAGGGTAGTCCTCATCACCACATACTTGCTGTTCGTATACGAAGAACTGGCGCTCGACTTGTTCTTCTTGAAGAAGGATTTGTCTAATTTGTGGTCATTATTATTGGGCGCCGACAGCTTCGGCCCGGGAGTCGAGTATATACTAAAGCCGATCACTTTGGCCTCCAGTAGTAAATGTTGATTGAGACAAATGACAGTTTCGTCCGTTTCGGGCAAATAGATCTGAATCTGAGGGTTGATGTGAAAGGTGTCGGCGTTATTACGACAGCCCCCGGCGGTCACCCCCTTCTTCCAGCCGCCCCTCAAAAACTTCATATGCCATGGCGTGTGACCCCTGAGACTGGGCTCGTCTTTGCTGGTTTCCAGATCCAGGTGAATCACTTCCAATGCAGTGAACACTTTGATAAAGTCGTTGTACGTGATCCAGAACTCGCCATCAATGGTGTACTTATGGTTCAGCCGATTCTTGACGTCATCGCACACACCCTTCCACTCGACGGAGTCCTTGTGACCCCACGAGCCCACGAAGTCGTTGCACAGACCCATCGGATTCCTCAGTCGCACCAATTGGACGATATCTCCGGTGATGGTCTCGACCTTCTCGACGGCCATTACTCTGTAGTTACTGCCGATAGCTATCCCGTTGGCCAGTCGTTCGTTTCCGTTGGCGTTCCGATTGGCGGACGTGTTCTCAGAGGGGGTCTCATTGTGGACGACAGCCGTCACGATGGAAGTCATGCTCAAGAACTTCGTTAGATTTTCGGTAAGTCCTGTCGTGTCCTTAATACTGATTGACTCACTTATACCGCCCGTCAAATCGGCCAAACCTTTTGGGAATGGGATTCTGTATTATATTTAAGGCATTCATAGCTCTGGTATCCACTGGACATACCATCCAAAGAGTTGCCGTATTTGAGTGCCTCATAACTGCCGTGAAGTTTGGCGTAAGCCTTCTCCAGAAGCGATGTCCAGAATTGGTTGCCATGAAGTGATTGAATGAAAATCAACTTATTGTTAACTGTGGGCAACCGGTCGTCCACCAGAACCTCTTTCCACTCGCCATTCCACCTGTCAGTCCCCATACAATAGCGTCACTTAATCACTGGTCACATAATTAGAGACAAGACATACCATATCCTGAACCGAAACATTCCGCAGTACTCTTCGGCGTCGAAACTCTGATCCGCGGGAACCACGCGATAGAAGAGGCCTTTCGTAGTCCTCAGACACCCGATCACTGACGCGAACCATTGGTCCCCTAATTAGTGGTTAATCGCACGTAAAGTATTTGTTGAGAAAAAGTTGGGAAAACTTTTATAAGTTGATAGAAAGTGGTGAATATATACCGAGTTTGCCGGCGCTTAGGTTAAAGTAGTTGTTCTGCGAGTCGGCCAGAAATACCGGTGCGGAACAGATCTCTTTGGGCCGCTTCCACACGAACTGAAAGGGAGGCGTCTCGTGATAGAAGACCGACGACTGAGTGCACGGAAAGTCCAGATCCTCGTAGAGCTCAGCCTTTTTCAGCAAACTTTTGCGCAACTTTTCAAACTCAGACATCGTTTCCCAAATATATGGGACTCGCTATTGATTGAGACTTGCTTTTTAATTAACAGTTAATTAGCTATGAGTTAAGACTTTTTAATTTCACTGTTGGTTACATTTGGTGTTTGCTGTTTAATGCCCTATTACTAGCACTAGTCGTGTGTTTGAATCGATTTATTTGAGACGATTTTTTCTCAAAGTAATCGTTCAGTAGCCATGAAATGATAGATTATATCATGTAATTAAAGGGCCGTAAGATTGTTGTCGATTAAGTGATTGATATTTGAGCGCACATTTCGCTCAATACACACAGCATTAGTTGAGACACAAACACACATCAAGACAAGACATAGGGAACAGTTGACTGATTGGCACTTAAGAGTGTATGAGAGAATGCATTCATGACCTCAATGTGGAGATAACATTATCTAATGGCTAAAAATGGCTTAACGGACGGGTAGTACGCTGTCGTGTGTAGTGTAATGTATAACGCAATCCAATCCAATAGCTCGAGAATAGACAACAAAATCAAGTTGTTTGGCGCCTGAGGCGGAACTGGGGGCTACACCTGTGCTATAATTACAATACCTGTGCTCTACAGTACAGGTGAGAGAGTCAGTCGCCGTTCAACGGCTTCCACTCGCGTGTGATTGACCTTAACTTACATGCAGTATATCTGTGCGAAAAGGCAATACCTTTCCGAAAAGGCAATACCTTTCGCAAAACATAATACACTAGTAATGTTACACTAGTATCCAATTAGTTGTGTATTGTATACCGATTTGAAACTTATCGCAGCATTCAATGTGCAGTCAATCATTAAATCACTTTTAACACAAACAACACAAAAGCTATTTAATCAACGTTTTAATGATGTATTTAATCGAAAAATAATTTTTTCATGGCTTTAAGGAATCATAAACAGAGTTTTGAAGTCATATTAACTAATTTTGGTTTGTTTTGTCGATACCGTAGCATGTCTTTAAAAATATAATAATATTTAAACCAATAAAATGAAAATCTATTACAATATTTTCATGAATTTAAATGATATGATAATTAAAGAGACTATTATAAAAATGATAGATAAGGATTTAATATAATAACAGATTAGAAAGTCATTTATAAATAGCGTTATATTTTAGTCCGAATCAGCCCGGGAACGTTTACTACCATTCCTATCGCCAGACCCCTGATAACCGCGCTTTTTATTCCCTATAAAACACGTTAACAATAATTACTTAAATGTTTTCTACCTGTACCTAATAAAGTATATTAAATAAACATATAATCAAATACATACTCTGCCACATGCCTTTCCCCTTTCGGCCGCCTCTTCCCTGGAATTTCTTATCATTTTTCTTCTGGTTATTAAGAATCCTATTCTTCTCAAACTCATTCCAGTACTGAATCTCTTCGCCGCCGGTCAGCACCACAGCCGTCACTTGAGTGCCACAGATCTCCACTTTAGACACGGCGTCCGACTCTTCAGCCTTCTTTCCGTCTTCAGTCTTCACTTCATCCTTGTCTCCGACCACTCCGTCTTCAGTCTTAACTTCAGATTTCTCTCCGTCTTCGGCCTTCACTTCTGTCTTGATTTTTGCCTTTTCTAACGCATTCTTAGCGCCGTTTTCGGCCCCAAACCGCACGAAACTCTTTACATACAAAAACCAGTTTAAACTTTTTTGCCACAATTTTTAAACTTCAGATACCGTACCTCTTGTTGAGCGTTGACGGCCTCCACATAAGCCACGGGTCCGTACTTTAGGAA